CCCGACAGAAATACCTGGTTGTAAGTGACTCGCGTCGGTATGCCGTCCTCAGTGTTAGTACTGTTACAGTGTAGCCTCCATAGCATGCCAAAAACTGGCGGGTTTTGGGGGTCTTCTGGGTCTTTGGGAGCTTTTATGTGCTATTTTCTGATTGCATATAGATAACATAGCCGGCCTGGTTGAATTACCCCCGTTTTTGCAACTGGGCTAATCAGAAAATAGCCGAACCCCCAGTTCTATAAGCCTGCTACGGAGGCTAGTTACAGTGTAGCTTTCTGAAGCGGAATGAAGCCTGCTGTCACACATGCCTTACACCGGATCCACCAAAGAACACTGCGGGAACTCCTGCGCACTACAAAACGTGTTTATACATAAACTCTGAAACCCTCTAAAACCCAAAACCGACACTAAAATCCTTACGAACACGAAGTTGTAGGTTATATTGACACAACAAAAGTACATGGGCTTTTGTAAGGTCTTCTTCATTTGCCCAACTAGTCAAAGACTATTATTAAGGGTCAGCCCCGAGGTCACATTCGTACTGACTACAATAGTCGAGTAGATAATTGTTATAGGGTATGATGGCAATAAAAAGCGCAGCAAAAGTGCGATAACTCATGATGGATCATGGTGAGTCTAATTAAGTTAAAGGGATCGGCATTTGCCAGCAAATGCAAAACGTTTCCCTCCAACACCGCCGTTCTGTAAACATCTGCACGTTGTTTCCCTTCGGCGGTAAACAGAACTAACAGTAGAAGCCAGGGTGACCTTTACAGGCGTGACCTTCAAGATTATCTCACGCTGTTTTTGTCCTTCAGCAGATCTTATCTTGAAGTTAAAGACTCCTTGAGATGCTGATCAGCCTTCAGAACCGTCTGTCCGGCAAGGCGGCCGGATGTTTGTGACAGGTGACGGATGGTATTTTTAGATACTTGACAAGTAAAGAAAAAAATTATATTCCTGTTAGCCTTTGATAAACCAAATCTAACTAATCTTACAGCCTCATACATTTATACAATCACTAAGAAGCGAGAGGAAGTTGAAAAGGCTAGAATACATTAGAGGTTTATGTATACATGCAACAGTTATATGTATATGTGTATGTATATGTATATGCATATGATTGTAATCTTGTGGCCTATGCTTAGCCCTGTGAGTGGGGCAAAAATGTTATCTCTGGCCGATTTCTACTCTTTCCAGCCGCCTCCCGAAGCCTGATAGAGGCTAGCACACAGGCACTGAGCTGGCTAGCTATACACCCTGGTATGTTATCTCTCTATTCGGCCAATTTCTACTCTTTCCAGCCGCCTCCCGAAGCCTGGTAGAGGCTACCCAAACGCACCGCTTTCTCCCATGGTGGAATGCTTGTGGCGTGCGCCCATTATAGTGATACGATGTTTTATGAATAATTAATAAGACGCGATGATCTGTGTAAGAACAGGTTAAGATGTACCTTAAGTCCACCTTAAGTTTACCTGGGCACACCTGTGGGGAAATATGAGAACGGTGGGCACTTGGAATGTAGTTTCGTGTATATACTTGTGTATGTACTTGAAAGAAAATGTTCACATTAGACAGAGGCGCCATGATAACAAGCAAACGAACGAACGGACACACATACAAAATCAACACAGGATATTGGTAATTTTAAACCTTTTAAACAACAAGTGTGAATTTGGAGATGTTCTGACATACTATATAACGGGCACAGACTGAATCTTCCAGGCTTGGATCTTGTGGTGACAAGCCCAAAGCGAGTAAATCCATAGTACGGACGAAATTAGTTATATATTATATTTTCAAAATCATGCCTGATGAAGGCTAATTACATGTACAGTTACTAAGAAAGTAAACTAAAACAATAGAGAACATACAACTACTGTCTGAACAACTTATACTACCACCACTTTTGCTATTATGAGGTTTGACTTCTTCTTTGGAGGCAGTGGATAATGCATAGTCACACATTCTGCATAAATATAATGAGTGGGTTTTGTGATCTTAGTAATAACGTAGTCTTTGGGTGACCTTCTAAATGTTGAAAGTATGGAGAAATTGTGGTAACTGTCTGGGGTTTGACTTCTTCTTTGATGGCAGTGGATAGTTTCCGACTGTTGTACGTATGTTTACCTCTCCCGATGTTTACCTCTCCCTCCGGCCGTAGTTAAGTGCCTGAGTTGTTGGACAGGGTTGTCGGACAGGGTTGTTAGAGTGAAGGTTTACACGAGCACACCATGTCATTATCTCAACTGATTATCGGGGTTTAATTAACAACACTTCTGTTTATCCACACACAAACGGGAGCAAAACACACACATAAGCCGTTATGTCCTCAGGGCTTCATCCTGATCTAACGCTCTCTGATCCTAGTAAAAACACTCAAATACATGGTGATAGATCTTAGTATCATACCCCATACATTTATAACATATATGTTTATTCATTTGGCTCGCAACATAGTAGTTAGAGCATGTAGTGATATACCCATGTTCCAGCATCTGACACTATTACAGGGAATATTTCTATTCTATTCTATTCTGTTCTATTCCATTCTAGTCTACTATATTCTATTCTATTCTATTCTATTCTATTCTATTCTATTCTATTCTATTCTATTCTATTCTATTCTATTCCATTCTATTCAGAAATCTGTTCTATTCTGTTTTATTTCATCTTATTAAATTTTTTTTTTACATTTATTTTTTAAAATGGAGCTAAAAGCATCTCTCTTGTATACAACAGGAGGCAAAGAGACCAATACGTCCCTGAACGAAAATCTGGAAAAATGCTATTTTTTTCTTACAGCTGTTCACTTGTGAGGACGTCACTATTTATTTGTAAACAAACTTAAGCTTAGTAATGCGTGTAACACGTTATCGAGTCATCAGACCCTGAGGGTTAGAGTAGTTAAGTCTTATCTGAGTGTGTAACATCCCGGCTATAAATTTACACTAATGAGGAACTGATCATTCTTAACATGACTCAGCGACAGGTTAGACAATAGACCAGGCTGTGAAAATTTAATTGAAAGTTTCATTCAATTTAGCTGCAAAAAGAGGAATGTTGTATGAATGAACTTTATTGCTCGACAATCGTACATGGTACAATGTGTGGCAGTAATACAACAATAGTACAAAACTAAACTACAAACTTACTACAAACTATTATCTATACAGTATATGAGTTACAATATGGTCATGTATGGATGATTGGTCTCGTTTATGGAATTAAGTTTAGGGATATTCGACAGAATAAAACGAAGGGCTGAAAAAGGACAGAGGGACGAAGGGGAAAAGATGTGGACTAGTTTATTACAGCACTTTATAGCTGTCCAGAAACGGATAATTTTTTCCTCCTTGAATTACGGCAAATTATTCTCCCTTTTTGGCTCCGTGACAAACTACGCTGACTAAAAACGTCACAACTAGTTTTCTTTTTGTGTGTGCTTGTCTGTAGTTAGTCCTTTCTTTTAGTTCTGCAAGTCATGTATCAAAATTGGAAAGTGTGATCCGTGAAATTGAGAGACTATAAGTAACACTAACACAAAGCGTCGGCAACTTACAAACTTTCGCCGGACCGGTTTGTGGAAGGTGGATTCTGACCTGTTGGACACCTTTGTGACGTCATAATTGGCGTGAGTTCATAATAAAGCATGACATCATGACTCTGGCACGTCCATACCAGTACCCCCCTCCCCACAATCTGTACTACACACAACTCGTAATGGCACTTCGGCAGATCGTCTATTTCGCATACTGCGTGTTCAATGATGGCATCCCGTCCGTTTTCAATTGTGCCGGAGAAGATATCGTCTGCGACGAGTAAAATGCCGATGATATGTCAAAAGAAAACCCTGAACGTTGAACCGACTAGACGTGACGTCTTGAATAATGTTTTATGCATAGCACATCGGCAGAACGTCTCTTTTAATTTTGCGTATTTTCAATTGTTTTCTGTCTGTATGGATGCTATATGCAGTAAAATGATACGTTTAAAACCTCCACATCATTAGCGAAGTTTCTTAACACATTTGCCCTTGAGAAAGTTGACATGTCGCGCCCTGTGACCTTGCGCCATTGTGTCGCGTCTCGGAGGTTCCGTCCAGGTGACAGGACGACAGGGACAGGAATGTCGGCGTGCCTGTCCCCGAGGCGCTGGCATGTGTATGTCCCTCGGTCGGGTGTTTACAAAACGCACCTAGAATACTGGCAAGAAACGTAGCCTCTACCAGGCTTCCGAAGCAGCTGGAAAGAGTAGAAATTGGCCAACAAGACACTCAGATAACACTCCGGGGGAGTTGGTCTGCTAAAGGAGTACATTTGGGGGGACCCGGCACATGTTATCTGCCTGAGTGTCTATTTGACCAGTTTCTACTCTTTCCAGACGCTTCTTAAGCCATGTATATGATATTAGAGGCTACAGGTCACAGGAAACGAGAAATTTCGACCTTTGCTCTGACTTAACACTTTCATACTGGCTTTACACATATCATATCTATGCAGCAGTTTTGGAATAAGTTTTTGAATCAAATGGTTTACAATGGTTTGCCCACGGCAACTGTTACATATTTCTGTCCATACCTAGGGATACGCTTAAGTGTTGACAAACAGTCACTCTTGGCCCATCTTGCTTGTATTGGAGTTGGCAGACGAGTAACTAACACCGTTTTAGTGCCGACAGTCTTAATTTATGACACATATTTTGCCAACAGGCCACTACGATGTTTTCTACTAGTGTTCTCTATTACTCTAATATACCCTGTTATCCACCTTAAAATCCACGCGAAGGCCACCGTGTCAACCTCCTCACTCAAGTGTAGGGACTGACACGGTCATCCTACTCGGAAAATCTGTATCTGTACATGAATCTGTATCTGTGGATGAATCTGTACCTATGTATGTATCTGTACATGAATCTGTACCTTAATTCTGCATGTAAAGATCACTAGTTATTGCCCATACCATAACTCTAATTGTACACCCTGTTTATGTTTCAGGTAACACTGCTGTTCTTGTGACCAGTGAACCGTTCTGATGTGGTGACCTTTCCTAAGGATGTGACCCGATGATGGAGCTACATAAAAACTTACCCTTCGGCGATGCCATGGAACCAGTTCAAACGTGAGCTTACCACGGGAAGGTTGCCTGTAAAACTGCCAACCAGTGGAGTTGCGACAACAAAACGTTCAACATTTCGTTTCTTGGTGTTCTTTTGAGACTTGCGGGTTGGACGAAAATCCAAGATGGCGCTATCAAACGGCCAGATCGTCGGTATCTCTGTCGGAGTGATTCTATTCGTGGTGTTTCTGATCTTGGTGCCGCTGTACTGTTACTTCGTGTGGAGAAAGCGGAGGCGGGAAGCCGGCTACTACGAGTCTGAAGAGGAAGGTCAGCCATCCGCCACTAGCCCCCCTCCCCACTCGGAGAAGAAGGGCGCAGAGAACCTTGGGTACGAGATCAACGGGGACGAGGTCAACGGCGCGGTGAATCACGGGAAGGTTCCAGACAACGGCGTTGTCCAATCGAACGGGCCGGTTTCCGTGGAAACTCCCGCCAAAATAGAGATAGAGACTCAGCAGAAAAGTGTTCCGGAGAAACCGGACGAGATTTCGCTGGACATTCCCGAGGAGTCGGTTGCGTCATCAAAGTCCCCGGATGTGCGTCGGGACAGCGACGCCCTTTCGCGGTCTTCGCTGAACTCTGACCTTGACTTGGACAACATCTCGCTGAAGATGAGAGGACTCGGGGACACAGACGACATTTTGACGTCGGTCATGTCGGTCAAAAGTCCCTTCAACTTCGACGAACAAAACGTCAGCAAGGACGCAGAGGTCACACCTGAAGTCAAGGACGAATCGAATCGTATGTTCGATTTCGACAGTCTCGGGAAGGACACGAGATTATCAGAAAACGACGACGTGCCTGAAGTAATAATTCCTAACGATTCGAACGTTCCGCAGGACAGGAGCAAGCTGTATCAGGTTTCGGACATTCCCGGAAACGACCTTGCGCCTAGGGAGAATCTATCCTTTGATCTGGAAAGGAGCGACAGCCTTTCGCTGAGTTCGGCGAGTTCAAAGGAGACCATCATAGAAATGCCCGGGTTCGCGCAGAGGGACGCGTCCCCGCACCTCGAACAGAACACGTTCCAAGGTGACACGACCTTCGGAGAAGAGCTGACCTTGAGTGACCTTGAGGAGGACCTAAACTCCTGGGAGATCGAACAGCCGGTTCTAAAGTCGATAGAGCCACTGGAGGTGGATCAGCTGGTTCTACAGAGGGCTGACATCTCACAAGTAGAGGTCAACGCAGAAGAACAGGTGGACAAATCGAACGTTGAACCGGAAGTAGAAATCCAGATTGAGAAAGCAGCGGAAGTGGTGGAGATGCCCGATGACGTCATACCGAACGGCCATGACGTGGAGCCGATGACGTTAGGGGTTGAGATGGCCAGCGACTCGGACTCCGGGTCTGACGTGCCGACGTGTTCCATCACCATGGCAGCGGAGGACTCCAGCAGCACCGACGCATCGGCGGGAGAGAACGACGGGACCGTCTCCGTTCGAATCCCGGAAAGGACGTCACTGTCAGACGACAAGGTCACCGAGTCGGACACTCTGCTTTCCCTGGATAAAACCCCGCCTGCTGTCATGGGAGACAGTTTCGCTACGAGTATTTTCTCCACTCTGGACTCCGGTGTTCCAAAACAGCAGCAAGAGCCGCCGCCATCTTTAAACGAGGAGCCAGAGGTCACCGTCTTGTCCTTCAGGAACAAAGATGGCGGCGATGATGACGACGACAGCGTCTCCCTGTCTTCTGCGTCATCAGGCTCCTCCGGCGGGTCAAAGGGCGATGTTCTAAAGGAGAGTCTGGCAGTAGAGGAACCGCACAGCCCGCCGTTTAGCCCCATCACTCCTCTGAGGAAGAAATTTTTCTCCCCAACCCCGGAAATCGGGATGACGGGAACACAGATGACCAGTTCGCCTCTACAACTTGAACCCGAAACGGGGGAAGCCAGGACAGTGACAGACAAGGAGCCACCTTGGAAATCGTTCGATTTGTCGCCTACTTCGAAGAAAGAGGTTGGCTCAGAACTGGAAACAGTCGCGAAAGTCGACGAGGTGTCTTCACAGGTTTCCATGGAGACCACGCCGGAACCAGAAGTCGGTAAAATTGACGAACAGTTCGAGGAAAAGGCTCTGACATTCGCGACACCAGACGAAAGTCGCGTGGTGGCGGATTCGGCGTCGTCTGAGGCGAGCAGTTCCGAGTCGGAGAGGCCGAACGTGGACAGCGACGCGCCCGAACAAACTGTGACCACAGAAACTCCTTTAGAAACAGAGAAAGTAGAAAATGAACCCGCGACTGTAACTATAGAAACAGAGAAAGTAGAGACGCCTCAGATGGAAAAGCCACTCGTGGTTCAAGAGTCTAAGGCGTTTGAATCTGTCTTAGAAAGACCAAGTTTCGACAGAAAAGCGCCAGAGCCTACAGTAGGGTCCCCGAGTGTCAGTATAGGCGGTGACCCCACGGATGACGTCGTGTCCTCTGTCGGGTCAGCTCTGACGTCATGGAAAACCCGGAAGCCTTGGCGCACGCGCGGTAGGCTGGATGACGACAGCAGCAGCGGCCGGTCCACGCCGGAGTCGGAGAAGGCGAAAGACGCGTCTTTTTTCTCGAGTCTTCTCGGCACGTCCAAGGAAGACGCGATAAAGGACTTAAGGAGTAACAAGAAGAGGAGCGAAGTTACAAGGAGCGACTCAAGAACGCCTCGGTTTAAGTACACGGGGTTTTCAAGAACCTACCAAGACGAAGAAGAAGACTTAAGAAAGGGTGACGCATTTTCTTCCCCCACGGCAAACTTGGAAGGACGTTTAGCCGCAAAGACGGAAACTGAGTCGCAGAAAGAAGAACAACCGCAGGTGAAATTGGCAGCGAAAGAAATAGAAGATAAACTTTCCGAATCGACGAGCTTGGAGACACCACTAAGAAAGAACAGGCACCTCAACTCCCCTGACACAACATCCCAACCTGAACAAGCATCAGAAACTCCACCGAGAAGGAAGATAGACGACATCATACAACATCTCAACAACCGTTCGGAGGGACAAAAATCGGCTGAGAGAACAGTTGACCAGTCCCCTAGCCCAGAGCCCGTACCCGTGGCACACGACACCCCATACCGACCACCCCTACCTAGTCCTGACCACCTTACCCCGTCACAGAGGCAACTCGCACAGCAAGAGTCAGTGTCTTCTGCCGCGCCTAGCCGCCCTCCTCTGCCGAGTACACCCAACCTCAGCCGCACGGAGAGTTATAAAGCGTTAACTCCGGAGCAGCAAAGTGAAATCATATCCGCCAAATCAACACCGAGGACTACGAAAGATGCAGTCCAAGAGGGCACTCCGATGGTCGCGGCGACGACGCCGAAAGTTGCCGACACAACGCCGAATGTTGCCGAGGCAACGCCGAAGATTCCCGACTCAACACCGAGGATTCTCGACACGACAGCACCGAAAGTGCCCGAGGCAACACCGAAAGTTGCCGACTCAACCCCGAAAGTTTCCGAGACAACACCGAAAGTTCCCGAGACGACACCGAAAGCCAGAGACACACGGAAATTCCCTGCCAGAACACGCGACAAACCGCCTGTCTCCAAACTGTCCCCAGCGAGATTGTCTCCCTACACCCCCATGCCGTTCAGCAGGGACCGACACACGTCGCCACCCTCCGTCTCAACGACGCCGCCTAGCGCCGGGGTAGCGAAGGGCAGGCGGCCGCGCGGGGTGGCCCGCTTCATGAGCTCCAGTTCGAACCCGCTGTTCCACGCCGCCATGTTGCTCAACGACGAGGAAAATAAGAAGAACGCGTCCGCTCCGGATCAAGAAAAGAAGAACGAGAGTCTTAGAAACGGGAGAGGTTCTTCACCAAGTCTCAAGACAAGCCCTGCACCTCAAGAACAATCTCCCAAACCTTCACCAACAGCCAAGACGGAAAGCGAAGGTGTGAAGGCTCCTCCAAGAAAATCGCGCGGCTCCGACCCAGCGACGAACGGAGAGTCGGAACAGTCCGCTTCGGGTCTTCGGAAGGACTCGGCGCTGCTTCGGACGCCGTCGTCGGTGTCGAGGGCTTCCGAGGACGGTTCGGAATACGGCGAGGCGGTGTCGGTGGCGCTGGATGACGCGTTCGCCATGCTGGACGATATTTGATCAGAACTTGGATGTAAAAACTGGCAAAACTGTTGAGAAAACGTACCAAACAAGAAATTGAGATTTGAGACCCCTAGGAAGTGTTTTGGGTCTTCGTGTTTTGGATTGCGGAGGGTATTGTATGATGTTATTTGGGGTTTAACAGGGGAATCTACAACGAAGACAAGACATGGTTGAAATAGACTGAATTGACTGAACTTACATTTATGTTCTGTGACATAAATGTCACAGTGTGACAATGTTACAACCCAAGCGTGTTGTATCAAAATGAAAATAACAATGTATAAAAATGAGCTTGCCTGTTACCTATACGTGTATCTTTTTGTATTATCAGATTGTTGATAATGTTTATATCATTGTGAAAGTTGTAAAGGTATATCATATGCCAGAATATCAATGCTGGGTCGGTGTGTAACCAAATAGTGGAGTTTAACAGTTGTACTAATATTGGCCAGTCGCCATGGCTCTGCAGCGCCTCTAGCGACAGCTGTTTGAGCTGCAATGATAATTCTTGTTTAGGGAAGTTGTTTGTACATATATCAATGTTTAACATGTAAATTATCAAATGTATTAACACCTAATATTCCTAGTTATTACCTCATAACTCATAGCCATGTATTTTTAACAAAATATATTTCTCCCTTGTAACATAACAGGTATAAAAGCCATATAAACTTTGTAATCGGTGGAGAGAATTCTACTAATATAAGATAGTGACAACTAAGTATGGGCAACGTCGTCTACTAATTATTCTATATAACATGGAAAGCTGCTTGCGGATTTGAAGAATTCTGCTCGAAAAAAATGTAGTATTTTCAACTCTCATTTGTACTGATGGTGTAATGTAATAATAATGATGACGAGCTTTCTACCAGAAATGTTAAAATTAGACAAAATTATAGAACTCTCAAGGAAGACGCTTTGGTCTGTAGAGTAATTATTCCTTGTATGGGTTTCGTGTCATGTTGACAGAGCAGAATTATACGCGGTGAAGTAGTATATATTGTGTTCTTGCGAATACTACTAAGTCTACAAATATTCCGGCAAGTTCGGAGTAAACTTGGGCATTGCAAATGTCCTGTAAGAATGTCTAGGATTATCACTGTATACTTTCTATGACGATGACTCTATATATACCTTAGATATTTCCAATGTAGAATTCATTCTGTATTTATATACATTTGTACTTATTTATACAGGTACTAAAATTCACCCACGCAGACGTTTCCGAACGATGTTAACACATGATTAATTATGTACATGTACGTACGTATGGAAATGTGCAAATATAAACAACGAAGTATTCAGCAGATGTGGTTTTCTTTGTAGGAACGTTTTATAACATATTTGGCGTTTTTGCACCTTCTTCTCCAAACTATGAACAATAATCATACACTGTTTTTTTTCTTCTGTAAATCATGTAGGGCTGCTAAACGTTCTCGTACGACGTGAGGGTTGAAAAGTGTTTAGTATCATTTTCTTCAATGAAGACACGGTCAGAAAGAAAACTAATTCATTAGAAACTCGCTACACAAACGCACATGTGTAGATACAAAAATATTTATTTCATTTCTGCACAAAATAGACACAAACAGATGAATATATGCAACACTTTTGTTTAGTAAAATATAGTTATATACAGTTTATATACAACACAAGTAATATATATCTACAATCTATTAAGGAATGTATTTAACTAGCATCTTTGCAATAATCACGAATAACGCTGTATTTTACAATAACATTACGTCAATTGCATGAAACTATTCCTCGACAACCCGGGTGGGAAAAAGAGAAATATGTACAACTTGATAACCACAGACGGAAATGACGGAAAACAACTCAACAAACTTAACTGTTTGGTGATGATCATCATCTTAAACTTTTATACAGTTTATAGTTATACAGTAAAAGATATGAACAAAAATACATGCTGTTACAGTAAGTTCTATGCACAATGTTTTAGGTCAAACAGAGCGGCACTTTTAGTACTTTGCCAACGTTGAAGTTACAAAAATACTGAGTCACACGAATGTTGTAATTACAAGATGCTTGTCACCAATGGAGCTGACATTAACTTAGCCAGGAATAGAGAGGGGAAAACCAAACAGATTAGAACCTGGACCTTGAATATGGAAATACAATGAATTTAATTTGCACGTGGAGCTAATATTCACTTGTTGGATGGGGAGCAAATGTTAAAGCGGGAACAACCTAAACATGAAAATACACGGCAGTTGAAATATCTACAATGTCAAATACCTTACGAGGGTTTGACTTGTTGGTGTGAAAGTGCTTTTTATTCCTCTTGAGTGGACATCCATGGCAGAAGTGGGATCTACATCTTAAAGCCAGTCCTATAAACATCTGTGTTACAAGATTGGGCAAATAAACAGATGTTTCATCGTGGTAATGGCTTTTCGGGGTTCTCTTTTAAAAAAAAAATCATGAACAATGAGGAGAAAGCCACCTTAGGGCGATGCTAGCTGTGTATAATATGACCTGCGACCTTCATGACTAATCACAACTGTCAGTTGTCTGACCTTCACATCTATCAAACCTGTCTCCCCTCTCAACCTCTCCCACTGCTGTTCCTCCCTCCGTGCACCCTCCCCACTTGACTCTACAGCCTCGTCCACATCAGCCTGGCTGCCGTCATACAGGAGGTCATTAAAGAGCCCCCAGTAAGCCTTGCCCTTCATGGTTCTCACAAAATCTCGGACCCCTTCAGCACTGAACCTGTTATCATACAGCCAGACTTTCTCCACAGCTGTGCTAACCTTCAGCCACGCAGCTATGGCGGGGAGGGACTCGTTATGGATGGAATTGTTCTCAATATCTACACGTGTCAGGATGGGAAGGTTGATAAAGGCTTTCATTACTTCTCTAACGTCAGACAACATGTTAGATTCAAGGTCCACCTTCTTCAGGTTCTGACATGAACCAAGACCTTCAGCAAGACCAGGCACTGCCTCATCACTTATGGTATTGTGACTGAGATTTATCTCGTCCAAGTTGGGGAGGGGAGGTAAGAAGTCTCCCCTGTCAGACAACTTGTTATGACTAAGGTTCACCTTCTTCAGGTTCTGACATGAACCAAGACCTTCAGCAAGACCAGGCACCGCCTCATCACTAATGTTATTGTGACTGAGATCTATCTCCTCCAAGTTGGGGAGGGGAGGTAATTTCTTCATGAGGGACAGAATGTCTTCACTAGTCAAGTCGCAGTTGGAAAAACCCAACACCTTTAGCGGTGGAAACCTGCTAGCCTCGCCCCCCTCCACAAATGATGTTGTTGCATGTAGCGACGACAATCCTTGGAATAGTGTGAGCCATTCAGAAGAACTGGCCTTCAGACATTTCAAATCCAACGTAAATAAACATTCTAGATGGGGAAAAGACGATGCAAGGTTGTCGGCGGCAGCAGCAGGCAGTGAGGAAATTTTTTCCCTCAATCCGTAATAAATATCTCCCAGTCTCCTGCCTTTGAAAACCCTCGTTCTCTTACCTTTAAGAACCAATTCTTTGATGTCGGAAGAAAGGAAGGAGAAAACACCTGGCCAGACATTTGGCCGAGTTTTACACTGCAGAGTGAAAGTTGCAAACCTTGCTGTCAGATCGATTACAGAGTGGAATTCTCTGACTTCCACATGTTTCAGTTTGTGCAGGCAGCTCAAGACAACCTTGGCTTGTACCATGTCGTCGCTATTAACTTTATTTAATGCAATGACTATATTTGTGACATTCGGAGTGAATAACAGTGATTTTGACAGGTTACCGAAGGTACCTGCTGTGAATGTTTTTGACCTTACAGTAATTTTCATGAAGGGTTGACCAAACTGAAAGTATTGCTGAATTGTCTCAACGTTGATCTCTTGGTCAGTTGTTGCAAAGCAAATTTCTGTCATGAAATTACGTTTGCCAGGAGCTGCACTTGACAGGCACTCAAAAAGACACAGGTAGCTGAGATATCTGATTTGATTTGTGTGGTTGGTAGAAGAAGAACGCTTTGGCCCAAAAGGATACTGTTTTGCTTCCTGTTTAAAAGCCATGTTTTCTGGTAGTTTTACTGTCTGAATAAGTGTTGTGTCCCTAATGAGTTGTGTCAAGCAGTGGAGGCCATGAAGGGAGATTTCAGGAAGAGCAGACAAGTCCATAGTTCTATCTGGAAAGAGTTGCTGTGTCAAAGATGACAAAGCATCTATCTGCTCTGATTCTGCAACTGTAGTTACAATAGACAGTAGGCGGTTAAAATCGTCAGACCCTACCTGCCGTTGCATGAGTAATCGTACGAACTGTTGCAGGTGTGCTGGAGGAGAGTCTTTCCTGCTCAGGAGGTGAGCAAGGCTGCAACAGGTGATGGGCAGGTGGTCTGACTTCTCAGCACAAACTCTCAGGAGTTCTGTACTGTCAGTCTGGGTTCTGACTGCGTGTGCTACCCAGAATGCCATGAGAAACTGCCGTATGCTGTCATGTACAAATTCGAAGGTATCCTTTGCTTCATTATAATCAATTGGTTGCAACAAACCAAGCGATGACTGTTTGATATCATCCCAGTCGAATTGGCTTGTATACACTTTAACAGACTGCTTACTTCTTTGACTTTCAAAAGCAGCTTTTCCCAAAACGAGACAATGGGTTTCATAGATAGATGTGAGTTTTTCATGGCTTATGTCATTTTGGGAAGAGAATTGCTTGGCAGAAATCTCAGTAACAAATTTTATAAATTCCGATAACGTACCAGGAAAGATTTGGTACTGTTTCCAGTATTCACACAAGTAAGGGTGGAAAAACCTGTCCCTGATGAGGTGCTTAACCAGTAAGTTACTTGGCCAGCTCTCCTGGATAGATCTTGCCGTGTCTTCATCATTCTTGAAGAAGTCTTGGATGTAGTCATTCCAGGCCAAGGCGTCTTCTCCGGTCGGGTACAAGGATGAGGTGGAGGTACACTCTGGTGTGTTGACTTGTGTTTCTGTAAGCAAGATAGGAATTAAAAACTGTTCTGATGCTACGTTATCTACATTTATAATAGAAGAACATAGTACTGCTTTCCACGATTTTCAAAATGTCCAACTTGTGCTAATACATGATAAGAAAAAGTAGATACCTTCAGTGCAAAAAATATATAGTCATATCAAGGAACTGATTAATTTGATAATGGATGGCTGTCATGTGTAGTGGTTTAAAATAAATGCTATGCATGAATTCATCCATACAAACATGCATGCATGTTAAGATTTAGTTTATTAATAATCATTTCACCAATCATATATAATGGAGTATCTAGACACACTTCGGGGTGGAAACGATAGAGTGGCTCACCTTTTCTGTCTGTGACACGTGTTTGGGGTGACGACAGACGTGCTTGATGTTGCTGCAACTTGTGCTTGATGTTGAGACAGAATGGAACTGGGCAATTCTGCTCTTGGCAATGTTTGGCATGGTAAACACACAGGGCAATCAACTCTTTACAGATCGGACAGGCACCACTAGTCTTCCCCTTACAACTCTTAGTGTGCTGCACCACATGTTTCATCTTCTGACAGCTGGGGAGACAGTTTGCGTCTCGGCACTGACAGGCGTGGATCATTCTCTGAATGAAGCGCTGGGCAGCCAGGCGTCTGGCCTCCTGTGGACTCAGGCTGGGCTGTAATGTTTCTACATCCTTCAGCTGCAGGCCCCACTGCATTTCGTGTGAGTGCCCTTTCTTCTTCTTGTAGCACACCACACACAAGTTGTATTGCTGCGAAGGGCAAGAGGAAAAAAAGGACAGATGTCAGCTGCTAGACGGTACTCAATAATGTTTGGGAAACTAACATAGAATCAAGGGGTATTTAAATTCTAGGTCTACTATGGCACAAGTTCCATTATTAGCAACCAATAAACCATCTCGTAATCATCAACCTCCAATGATTGATGTGGAAGTTCCTATAAGCAGATGTATTCACCTCACAAGTTGTACAAATGTAAGAATATTCTGCCTGCATCGTCTGCTTGCATGAAGTACAGAACAGTGGCACTGCAGACGGCTCAGACGGTTCCTGTAAGATTATAATGAGAATATGAAAGAACGTATTACTTGTTGCAGATGTACATAATTTCATCATGTTGCTAGAAATTCATGACACAAAAGGTCTATTCCATACAAGCCCAAGCACTATGCAAAGTGTCCATGTTGGATACGAAAAGGCTGGTTGCTAATGTGTCAACGAAGTTTATGACATACCTCATTTTCTGGTACTTCCTTGGTATTTCTTGCCAGGAGCACTAAGAATGAAAAAGAATGCTCACAGTCATTTGACATATCATGCATATCATTTATCTTCTAATATTCTTATGCATCCTAATTCATGTCAGATTTATATCTGTTGTACACGGTTGAGAAACACTCAAGTCCAAAACCTTTTCTTCCTTTGAATCACAAAAGTCAGTTACCTGGGCGAGTAATTCCTTCCCCATGGTCTGGATGATATTCATTGTTATGATCAGCTTCTTCGGGATGCTCTTTTGCTGAACCTTCATCCACCAATGAGTGAGTAGTGTCTCCAACTGTTGAGGTTAAGGGGTGAATGACTAATATTTCAATTGGAAGGTACAACCGTAAATCTGGGTCACTGGACAGTGTCTCCTATTTACATGACGTACTAAGAAACAACTTGTGATAAACAGTACATGGGAAATCTCTTACCTGCTGCACCCTGATGCTCCTCTTCCTCATCAGAGCTGCTGATTGAGTCAGAACTGCTGCCGTCAGGACGTTTCCTCTTTAACAGCAATCTGCCATCTACAAGACAATGGAAGGAAGTGACAATCCAGCCAGCCTTTCCCATGCCAATGGAAAGAACAAACGTACAGATGGTTTTGTATAGAATACCGTACATTGACTGAATCTTTCAATCCACTAGTCTATATACTGCTACCATATATGTATCATATGATATATCATATATCTTTACCATCATTCCTTTCAGCCTTCATGTTGTCTGATTCCTCATCAGAACTGCTGGAACTAGAAGAACTGGAACTGTCAGAACTGTCCTGTTTAGGCGAGGTCTTCTCTGTGAAGGAAATAATTATTTTGCTGCAGTGTTACTTTTTTATTAATTGTAATTTGACTGAAAGTTTTGTAAAAATTTGGAAAATGTTGGACTTCTTTTGTTATAACGTACTGCAAGAAGTACTACTGAATTGTTGTGTATACCCACCGGCAGGGTTTGCAGTATCCAAGTCCCCGTCTGCCTTTCCTTTTGCAGAATCACAATCCGTTTCTGTCAGAAACAATTCATCAGAATCTGCATAAAATCAAATGGAAAATCAGAACCTGTTACTGTCTGTTTGAAAATCCAAGAGAACAGATTTGTTTCTGAAATGCTCTCAACAAAGGTAATATTGCAACAGATAAACCTGGAAGATACGTTTATTGGGAGTCGCAGTGTTGCACACTGAACGAAAATGAATTCAAACTTAACGTAACTCATTAAAAGGTGATAGTTCCTTAGCGCGATCATTGTCCTGAGTTTAACTACCTTGAAATAAACCTTATCAATAAGGTTTCAAAAACACTTTTCAGAACGCCAAAAATAATATAGTTACACTATACAAATCTCCAGCCTTTCTTGACTGATTAAGATGTTGACTTACGTCCTGGGCTTGATGCAAACATGTCATCCTCTGGCTTCTCCTTTTCAGCCTCACCCTTCTCAGCTGTTTCAAACAGCTGTCCAGAGGCTGCTGCATCTGCGTAGCAACAACAAAGCATGACGGTAAGTAAGGGATAAAACTGACTAGCCAGGTCAGAATACCAGACCTACCAGACCTATTATTAAGAACTGACAGGATCACGACAATGTTCAGTGTAGGGCTGTGTTACTGTCGTGAACATTGTGGCAGTAAACTTTTGAAGTTCTTTCTCTAAAAACTTTGAACCTGACAACCTCTGTACATGGTCCACTGCGTGCAAGTGCGCGTCTTGTCAGGATTTGAGGGTTCGGTAGTCTGTCTATGTTAAGCTTGTTAAATCATGACGTCTTTTTTCTTTCATTATGTATATGTATATGTAATTCGCATATTGTTCACTCATTATTTTATACTTGAGTCTATTGTATTTGTATGCTGTATCGGGACGAGGGCTGGTAAAGGTGTTTCACCTGTTCCCCCGTCCCTTTCACTGTTGTGATGAATTTTAATAAATAAATAAATAAATAAAAGCAATGGCAAATGAATTTAGCTTGTTTTCAACCTATGATCACAGTTATTGTAAATTAAGAAAAAAAGTTCACCTGCAACCTGGTGTATCCCAGCATCCCTCAGGGCCTGCACCAGCCGCTCCAGTGTGACGTCACCAGCGTTCCTCTTCATCCAATCACAGATCAGCTGGTGAGGACGGAGGGATGGGGGCTGCCTGGCTGTCAGGTCCCGGATGTAGTCAGTGGTGAAGCCGAGAGACAAAGCCAGCCGCTCCCACATGGAACCCAAATGGTCAGCAACAGCGGCTAGCTGTCTGTCTAGTTCTGTGGATCATATAAGACAGGTATAGAGAGCTGATAAGATAGCTGATATATGTCACACGATTTAGTATCAGATACCTAGAATACTGATTTGCAGAAGGAAGATGAAAGTACAACAAAGGCTATATGACGAGTGAGTTTAGTTGTTTCAAATATAGTCGTGTACCTGTTTCTTCTCTCTTGAAAAATGGACCTGCCAGTTCACCCTTTATCTCTGAATAGAGAAAAAGAAAACCGTAAAGTAATTATGATATATACACAGTATCTATTGCACACACTAACATATTATATACAAACGCATGTTACAGGTATGCCCCTGCATATGTTAGGCCATTATCAGATTTGCCTTGAAGACACTCATGCCAGGCCAAGGCGTCTTCACCCGTCGGATAAACTGACTGGTTGGCTGTGCTGCTTCGTGACGCTGAAATGAAGCAAATGCGGCTAATTATGTTACCAACATATTCTTTATTCTGGCTTCAGAAAGTACTAAATGAACTACAAGTACAACTGATACATGGTTAAGTTGCCCATTTACCAGAATCTAGTGATGATATCCCCTCCTCTTCTTGCCTGTTACTATGGCTACCGCCTGGCGAAGATGCCGAAGCCTCTCTGTCAGTGTTGTCTGATAAACTGTCATCTGATGTGTTTTCGTCTGTGAAGTAAAATTATTGATTCAGAACCCAAACTAATGAAATACAAGTTAGAAAGAAGGAAAAAAGCTCGTTTATCTTATTAAACATCATGATAGAAATTCAATGATATTCACCTATTATTGGATTTCATATGATGATGATGATGATGATTTCTTCAATATTAGATCAGGTTATTTTTTATTCACTTACCATGTGCTGTACTTGGTCGAGGCGTGACTTTACGTTTTGCTGCACCACCAGAATCTCCATCTGTGGAAACATATAAATCACTTACTAAGAAACTCATCAAATGTTTTTTTAATAACGAAGAAGTAACATAAACTCATCAAATGTTTTTTAATAACGAAGAAGTAACATAAACTCATCAAATGTTAAGAATGAAAAACTGAATCATAGCTACAGTTACCTACGGTGGGAAGTTCTACAATTACAAACAATTTACCATTATTGTTTTAAAGGAAATTTATATATGGATTTTCAGTTATTAACAACGAAAAAGACTTAATTTTTAGTTATTAACAACGAAAAAGACTTAAATATATTTCATCTTCCAATCTTACCGTCATCCGAGTCTCCATCTGAACTTGACCCGTCACCTTTAGCACTTTGACCTTTCCCCTCTAACCCCCATGACCCATCGTCCACATCCTTCTGGAACAGTTCACCGGTCTCCACCGCATCTGGGAAAAACATTCAGAATTGTAAAATATGAAATTCTGGCTTGATTGAAGTGGCCAAAAATCCAAACACCATGTGAAAACTACTTGTTACCTGCTATCTGGTGCAGCCCAGCTGCTCTCAGTCCCACCAACACGGCGTCCATTGATGCTCCCCACAGCTCCCTCTGTACCCACTCCCACAGACACCAGTGAGGGTGGTATCTGGGGTGGTAGGTGCTGCTGATCCTCTCCACGTCTGTACTGGTGAATCCCAGCTGAAAGGCCAGCCATGTCCAGTAGGGACCCAGTCTGTCGGCTAGCAACATCAGCTGGTTGCAGCAGTCTGGGTGTGAACAAAACAGAGGAAGATTTGACACATTAACTTGCATCCCATCCCTGGTCATGTTGCACTTGCTTGTGCAACAAGTGATCATTGCAACTAAGCTAGGCATCAACAGTATTAAAACAAATAACAAGTTGAACGTAACACAGCCTTAGCAATATTCAAATGGTAATAAAACATTAATGTGATCATGCAATCACAATAAATTTCAAGAGAATGACAATATTTACGAGAACAGAAGGGCTCCTCCTGTTGCTGTGGCTGATACATCAGTTCCGTTTGTTCCTGTTGGACCCCAAAACCGGCAACTATTTCTGTCTCTTTTATTGATGGTGGGTCCATGTACGGATGTGGTTCTGTGCCAGTGTGATGTTCTATGCCCAAGTGTTGTTCTGTATCCGTGTGATGTTCTGTGTCCATGTGGTGTTCTGTGTCCATGTGTTGTTCTGTGTCCGTGTGATGTTCTGTGTCCATGTGGTGTTCTGTGTCCATGTGTTGTTCTGTGTCCGTGTGATGTTCTGTGTCCATGTGTTGTTCTGTGTCCATGTGTTGTTCTGTGTCCATGTGTTGTTCTGTGTCCTTTTGGTGTTCAGTGTCAATTTGGTGCTCTGTGTCCATGTGATGTTCTGTGTCTGTGATATGACGCGGTCTGTGATGTTCTATTTTCATTTGATGGTGAGTGTGTTGTTCTGCCTTAAGTCTGGGACGTGGTTCTGTTTTGATGAAGTGATGCTCTTCTGTTTTCTCCTGCTCATCCTCTTCTTCTTCTGTTTTGACGCTGGGGCCCATTCTTGTCACCCTGTGCTGATGTAATATCACGTGACCGGGTTGGTGTCCTTCCCTTTTCACATGGAAGTGAGGTTCTGCCTTTACACGAAGACGCACTTTCTGATAGTCGAACGGAGGTCGTCTGTTGATAAGTTCGGTTTTAACACCAAGAGGCTGTTGGGGCTTCGCTTCTAAAGTTGGTTTGGTGTCCTCTGCTTCTGTTGCGTAGCTGCACGACGGTTTTGGTTCCACCTTTACTGGAGACAGAGGCTCCTGTTTGATGAAGACATCTGGAAACCCGGATGTAGAAATTTCCACCTGGCTTCTTCCTGTAGGACCTCTTGGGTCATCTGTGGTAATAGAAAAATGAAGACAGTTAGAACGTTGATAGATACAAAAAAAGCATTGACAAGTGCTTGGAAAATTTGTTTGAAAGTGTCCATTCAATTGAACTGTTAATGTTGTGTCACAGAAAATAAACCTCACTTTCGTCGGAAAGACTGTCGTCCTGACATCCCCCGTCCTCTCCCAGCAGCGTGACGTGTACGTACAGATCCTCCCCTTCTGCTGCCCTCATGTCGTCTGTGATCAGTTCCCGGGTCAGGGTGTCGGACAAACGTCCGTCTCTGTAAGCTCGCAGAAATGTTTTGTAGCAAGACTCATCGTCAAATTCAAGGTAACATAGAACACAGCCTCGCATAGCTCTCCTCAGGGTGGCCTTAAAAAGCCGAAAACTTCGTGTAAGGCCATTGTATATTGCTGTATTACGTAGAGATCTTGTATCTTTAAAAAGGAGGTCATCAACCCGTGCTATCTCATCTTTTGTTTTCCTTCTGATTGTCAACTTTGCCCTGGCAGAAAGTTTCTGTACATCAGAGTCGTCCGCACTTGACTCGTCCGTACCCAAGACTATGTTTGCATGTCGTCTAAACGCTTTTACAGCTTTCGAAAATTTCTTTGGATCTCGAAGCACCTCATCGTGAAATATTTCCTCACTCCTCTCAACGAACTTGTAAAATTTGTTGTTTCTTTCATCTCCATCTTCGCTGATGATTGCCTCATCTGAGGGGAGACAAAAAAAATACACAGTCTTTAGAGTTAGTTTGCAGATACAGAACGTTGACATTACATAAGACTGTACGCCGTGGCCATAGATAAAGATAAAAAATTTTAATGACACCTAGACAAATGCAAAAATATAATGCCAGGCTGAGCTACGACTGGAGGCATTGGAATGATAAAAATATACTTCAGCATCATTCAAATTAAAGTGGCACTGTTTGATATCGAAAGAATAATTCAGCTGTAAAATCATACATCAATGCATCTAGCCAAGTACGACACAGGATACTCACTTGTCCTCTGTGTCTTTGTTCTTGCCACACTGCACACCCCACCACTGACAGTTACAACACTGATGGTGTACTCAGTTCCTGCTGTCAGACCAGAGAAGGTGTGTTCCAGTGGATCTCCAGCGTTCACACTTACACTAGGAGCGGTGACACCATCAGCCTTAGAGATGCTGATCCTGTAGCTGTCTTTGGCGCCAACTGCTTCTGCCCAGGTGATCCTGATACTGTCTTCTGTCACTTCGGCAATGGTGATGGAGCCAGGCTGGGCTACAGCTGGAGGCATTGTAATGATGGAATCAGTAACATTTCAGCATCATTAAAAACTTAAGTGGCGCTGTCTGATATCGAACGAATAATTCAGTTGTATAATCCATACACCAATTCATCTAGCCAAGTAGTCTTGGCATGATGATAGGATTCATTGACAAATTCCACGACCAAAGGTCAGTGTAACTTGTAGGTAGCATAACCCGATAAAACTTTGTGACCCTGAAGAATTAACTAAAACACTGCGACATTGTTAACATAACAACATCATCTTGACTCTGAAAATTACATGGATAAACTGATAAAATTATAACTAACTCAAGAGCCTTTGACATGGGGTGACCAACATTTACTTGAATTATCTCTTACCTTTCTCATGAGATTCTTCATCTTCAGAATCAGTTCTTGGTTTCTTCGACTTCTCTGTTTGTCCCAAAGGTTCTTCCTTCCTTTTAAGACTGCTAGTGGACGGCTGTGGCTCCTGTAACTCTGCAGGAATGAGCAATGTTGATGATGGCCCCGTGAATAGTTTCATCATGTTGGTAAGACACTGAGTAAAGAGACTCTTTTTACACAACCAAGTGTTTTATTCAGCCGACGTTTCGGTGACCGTCTGTCACCTTCCTCAGGACAATTCTGACTGGCTCACATTGCACTGCAGCACAGGTGTCGCTGCTATAGATGCATTCCCAAACGTACAATATTTACATATCTACACATAAACGTGATTACAGGGAAATGTATGTAATATGGATAAAGAGTTGATTGTGTAAAAAGAGTTTCTTTACTCACTGCTGATAATGGCAAACTTACCAGCATGAGAATCATTCCCAGCACAGATGGCTCTTTCTCTTCGTGGGTCCATTTTGCTTTCATGGACACGTCATTGAGAATCGATAATCTGAATCTATTATAATAAGAAAAGGTAAGAAACGCACCATCTAAACTCTCTGCTGTCAGACTTTCATCAATGTCGATGAGTGCCTGCTTCAGAACCTGTAGAGTAGCCTCCCTTCCCTTCTTGTTTCTCCACCTGTGCAGCATTTCTCTGCACCAGTGGTCTTGATCAGGCTTCAATGTCTCATCTGCCCTGATTCCTTTTATTTCGTTCTCATTGAACCCCAGCTTCCGGGCCAGGTCGTCCCACTTGTTACTGACTTTGGTGATGACTTTGTCAAAATATTTCTGCATGTCATCTGAAATTAAACAACCATTAAGTACATTTCATCACACAGCATAAATATAATGTAGATCATTATGTATGAACTATAATATTCTAGTGGGTTTTCCTTACATTGCTTTGTCATTTGCCATTATAGATTCTGACAGCATTTGTTTACCTTTCTAAACACAGTATATTTGTTAAAGGATAATGCTAGAAGGGCTCATTGGAATAATAGTATACATGTAAAATGTATATATACCTTGGCCAATCTCCACATCCTCCTTAGTGCTTTGTTCAGAGCTCACACTTGCACTTGAAGCTGCACTTGGTGTTTCGCCTCTCATCCCTTCTCCATTGGTTCTTCCAGCGATCGCTGTTTCATCGTGTAGAGCTGCAAGCAGGAAAGGAAAACATTATGAATTTTTTCACAGAATTTTCAGTTGATGTTGAAGAAACGAGTGACACGAAAGACATTTCCATTCTGAAGTACTGGAAAAATTCTGGTCTGTCTCTAAAGAACATCACACGTATCGTGACTTCATCAAGTGATCAAATAGAAATCCGGCATTGCCGTCACGATCACGATGTTACAAAACAAACAGAAATGTCAAAATTGAATCCCAAAGAGATTTCGCACAAACAACCATCAATAATACGATAAACATGTTCTTATAATTACCTTTCTTCACATCGTCTCCCCTGAGCAAGTTGGCGAGCCGTTTGTATCCACTGTTCTGTAGCGCCGTGCAGAAGGAACGGAAACTGCTGCCCCCTTTATTATATGATTGAAAATGAGCACCATTTTATAATGGATTGTACATTCTACAATACTGTTCACTTTTCTTTCCACAATTTCAACTGATTTTAATACGTTAGATCCGATAGATAAATTGATACATGTATTTAGCTTTGTTAGATCTTTAGCTGTAGAAGACCATACAAAAGTCCCTGTGTCAATAAAGAATTGTGGGGTCGTGTGGCGTAGCGGCAGAATGCTCGACTCGGAACCAAGAGGTCCCGGGTTCGAGTCCTGACATGCCCTTGGGAAAGGCACTTTACACGACTTTTCCCTTAACTCAAGTATTGTCCTGTCCTGTATTTGTACTCTGCGTTGGTGGGGGCATAAAATAAGTTGATTTTTAATGATTAGTTGATAATTTGGTCATGAAATGTTGGAATAAATAATGATAATAAAAAAGCATCACCTTTATCCGCCAGAATCGCCAGGAGTTTCCGGACTTGCGCCTTCGCACCTGCCCCTTCTCGGTCTTTGATCTCCCTTTCTTCCTCGTCTTCTATGACCCCTGCAGACACCAGATGGTCCAGAACCGAGTCCACGTCTCTGATGTTGTTCACCAGTTCCACACGGTGCTTCTTTAGAAGCTGTTTATGACTTGCATCCATGATTTTATTTCAAAAATATCATGTTTTGACAGGAAGAGTTACTTTAAAAATTTGTTGTGATTGTTTTTACAACTGTATCTGCGTATACTAACAAAAGTCAGATTTGGTTGTCGAATTTTCTTACATGTCAGCTGGTAGGCATTCCGTGTAGGTTCGTGCTGTTGAATGTACAAACAGAAAACCATCTTAATTAAGTAAGTCAAATATACAAGACGAATAACTAAATAATCATTATGAGTTATATATTTCTATATTTAAGATATGATAATTGATATGACAGCCGTAGCAATCGACGATATGTAATACATTTCTAGATACAGAAGTAAACTCAACGGAATGGCGAATGGAATTTCTTCAATCACAATGATAAGAATACTCCCCCCCCCCAGGTCCACACTCTCCGCCTAAATGCACCAACATAGAGGCTAGCCCACTAATTAAGGCATAATTAAGTCAGACACGTGGCTCACAAAGACGCATAAAATGTTTTATATGAAGTCAAGGAAACCAACACCAACCCTCTCCCCAACACCACAATAAACAGCGGTAGGAATGACGTAGTGGGAAAAACCCAGGAAGGGGGAATCCCCAGGGGAATCCCCTCAGGTATTTTTTGTGGCAGAAGTCGGTTTTGATACACTGTATCCATTAATAACTGCATACAACACGGTTATCTTGACTAGTCATGAAACATCGTTTCTGTACACACAATCTGTGTATCCTGTATATCATCAAATATAACAGCATTGGTTTGTAAACCATGTAATAGTCAGCCACACGGAGGAATTAGTATCACTTTGTAAGCACACAGTGACGACTGTGAACCTTTTTCGCAACTGGGACAATTCAGGGTTATTTTTCAACTTTTAAGTCGTCAAAATCGCTTGAAATTCACACACAGTCACTTAACCAAATCATTTCGAATCCATACCCAAGCGTTGAACGACTTAAGATGTATGGTGGATACGAACTATCTTTCAAATTGGTTCCACTCAGGTATAACTTAAATACCACAGAAACAACAAACTTTAAGCAGATATGAACATCTGAAATCTACCACCAGTACTGGCTCTGTCACATTTCCTAAACCTAAGAAACTCTTATTTTCATTCCTTTGCAGTAAAAGTCTGTAAATATCTTAAGAAAGAGCCTTACTTAAAGAAAGTTTTCTTCCACTTACCTGTCCGAAACTTTCGCTGTCACTTCCTGGTCACATATGCGGAAGTGATCTTGTACCCAGGGCAGTCTGTGGGCGCACACAAAACCCTGGGTACGAGGCGGAAGCGCCGCCTGCCAGCACAATACCTAATTGCAGTAGCTCGCCGGGTCCAGCAAAATAGGGTGTCACCCGAGGTCATTGGAACACAACTCAAGTTATTTTTTGATTTTTTAGAACAGAGCGGTGTTCTTTTTGGGGTCACCTGAGGTCATATGCGGGTGATTATTGGGTTGTTTAATGTATGGATTGGGATGAATAAAGACCCGGTTTTGACTCTATTTGTGACATTACGGCGCCATAAGGAATGTGGAATGGAGCCTTCTGATTGGTCAACGTCACCCGGCTATATGATAAATTTTGAATGGCCTCAGTTTTGGGCTGGTTTTTTTTTTCATTTAGGCCTCTGTTTTTTTTTCTCTGTAGCAAACATTTTCTTTTTCACATTTTTGCATACGATTTGGAGTCTGTAAGATGTAACCCATACAATTTACTTTCTGTGGCCTTGCCTACTACAATGGTCTAGAGCGAACCCCAAGCAAGCGCCACGTCACAAAAAAAAGTGGTCACTAACCACTGATCATTAACCACCGGGTCTCTTTTGTGTGCCGCCGGCGACAACAAGTTTTCCACGTGTCGTGTGCTGTTTATAGCGCCGTGTGGATTACCGGGATGCCAGAGTATACAGTGCAATTTTGCGGAATACAGTGCAATTTTGCGGAATACAGTGCACTTTTGCGGAATACAATGTTATCTTATTAGTATACAGTGCAAATTTACTAGTAAAATTGCACTGTATACTAATACGATTGCACTGCATTCCGTAAAATTGCAGTGTATTCCGTATACTCTCGCACCCCTGGATTAAGGACTGAAGACAGGGTTCCGTCACAAAGCCCTGCCTGAGCATGGGATTACTACTTGCACAAAAGGACGTGGATATTCTTGAAGGTTATCCGAACGACACGTTGCCACCATTTGCCACTTGATATTTCTCGACCAGGACTACGTTTTCTGCTACACAAATTAAGCAAGAAAGTGTCAATTCGTCAGGGGTTTCTCAAGAAACTAGAAATCGTAGCCAAGGAGCGACTGCCTTAAGTAAAGGCGCCGAAACGGGGACGTTGATTGTTGAAGGTGGCAGCAACCAGACAGAGGACGAGATTCGTACTCAAAAGGCACGCCACGTTACGTATACTACTAGGTCAGTAAGTAGGCATTCTTCCATTGCAAAACATGATGGTAGCACTTCAGTACTTTATATATAATTAACCGCGTACTGAAACGGTTCGATTGTCATACCATATCTAATCCTAGCCTCTACCAGGCTTCGGGAGGCGGCTGAAAGAGTAGACGTCGGTCAAATAGAGATATAACATGCCGGGGGAGTTGGTCTGCTGGAGAGAACATTTTGCCGCGTTATTCTTTAATCTTTCTATCCTATGTACTATGCTATTCAGTATCACATACATGTAACATCATACTCCGATGTGTGTATTTAGCCCCATGGGCATAAACATGCAAATAAACATTCATTACCACTATCCCACAGGATATGTGTAACCACTGCAGTCTCCACGGCATCCGCCTGAGGTCGCTGCTGCTGGTGCCAGTGGTGACGCTTATGGTTGCCATAGCAACGTACCAAACATGGCGGCCGTTCGACGGGTCTGCTTTGGGACAGGCCCGCCATGGAAAACAGAGCAAAAGGTTGGTCTTACTTTCTTCCAGTCTCTCTAGTACGTAGCGATCGCATCATTCAATTGATTCTTGTCGGATGCTACAAACATATGGAAACCAAACAAAAAAGCTAGAAAGTTAACATTTGCAATGCAAATGCATAATGTTTACCTTCAGATATGATCTGCTCTGTTAATTCTTACTCAAACACATACATTCATATATATGGTGACAGGATTCTAAATCCCTCCTACTATAAAATTGCAACATGATGTAACCCAACACCACTTATCATGCATGGTGACATACATCTGGTTGAGGTCATTGACCTAATTTGTTTGGAGAAGACGAAACAGAGCAAAAACAACAAAATAGATTGTCAAATATTTGGCAAGAATTACAGCGTTCCATACGGGGACTATTTCTCCACGTTGGACACGTGTAGCACAAATAGCGGGTGAAAGGTGAATGGTAGACTACATCGCCCCCCGTCACATCAGAATGATGATTTTATGGAATATAGCGGCAGATCAAGTCGTGTCTTCGTTCATTTATTTTCTTTTAATTTTAGCCACCGACTTCGCTTGGGACGGGTGAATGACGACATCAGTGACGTCATGACGTACCGAGCCAATAGTAAAGAGGCACTCAACGACGTCATCAACGTTACCAAAATTGGCGGGAAAAGGAAAGTTCTGGATGAACCTAATAACGTTTCCAAAAGTGGTGGGAGAAAGAAGTCTGTTGGTAAAGAAGACGAAGAGTCCGCCAGAAAGTGCCAGCCGAAATCCAACGTTGTGTTTCTGAAGACCCACAAAACGGCAAGTTCCACAGTGCAGAACATACTCATGCGCTACGGTCTGGCAAGGAATCTCACATTCGTTCTGCCGTATTCTAGCCATATTCTGAGCACTAATATCCGCTTTTCAAAGTCAGCTGTCCTCCAGGAGCGTCTCCATGGTGATCGTCATGGCAACCGCACCGCCTACAACATCTTGTGTCACCACACGCGGTTCCAGTACGACAACATCCGGGACCTCATGCCAGACGACACTTTGTACGTTACCATAGTGAGGAACCCGGCCGCCATGTTTGAGTCGTCCTTCCAGTATTTCAGGTTCGATTCGCGGTACCACATAACCCAGCCGAACGCCATGGAAACATTTCTCGACAATCCTTCTCACTACGTGAAAAAATTCGGGGAGAAGCCTCATTCCCACAATGCCCTGTTCTACGACCTTGGGTACGACAGCGAGGCTCTGACCTCAGAGCAGACGATAAAATCCGCCATTGACCGACTTGACCGGATATTTTCGGTTGTCATGGTTTCAGATTATTTTGAAGAATCTGTCGTGTTACTGAAACACGCGTTATGCTGGGACATCGATGACGTCACGTTTTTCAAGGTCAACTCCAGGAACGAGCAGTCGGTACGTCACGTGACCACGAAAATGGCGGGAAAGATACGTCACTGGAACAGGGCCGACGGCATGTTGTTCGATCACTATAACATGACCTTGTGGTCCAAACTTCCCCGCCTTCCTGTTTCTTGGCAAAACGAAGTTGAACAGCTCAAAGAAAGGAATTTGCAGCTAAAAAATGCGTGCTTGGAATCTGATAGTGCGACAGCGGAAAAATTGGAGACAAATTTTAAAGTTTTTCAGCCGAAGGGAATTTCTATTAACGGTTTTGTTCTGAAGGACGGTGCCAAGGACAACGCGACATGTCGTCAGATGGCAACTCCGGAGGTTCCGTTCACGAAAGAGCTGCAGAGAAGGGAACGCAGCAAACTTCTCCAATCTCATGGTTAGATGGACTTGCTTCAGGGCCCTTTAGGACTAGGGGCCACGGCTTCGAACCTCATCTAACGTTTTGTGGTGTGTTTCGTTAAAACTTTAGTCAAAATTAATTTTATATCCACTAGTTCCCTTTGCAACCGACTAGGTGATGACTGATCTGTCTTGGTGTAAGTTATTCGACTGTCATTATCAGATTACTTTTATTATGTGTATTTTGTTGTTATAATCTAAATAAAGTCAGACTCAATTCATACTCTGCCATCTTGAATATTAGGGCCCCAAACGCCATTTTTTTTAAATCGATATGAGTGGCAACCTCAGAAAAAGTATACCTTATACCTTATACTTATCATATCCAAGATGGCGGCGGGACGGACACCCCTGTCGCATCGCTCCGCCTGATTTCGACTGATTTCGACTAATTCCCTACTTTGGCGATAATTGTCGCATCCTAAGAACGCGTAGTTTATTGCTAACGCCGTATAGATCAAGTTCATGTAATTTTTGTCAGCTATATTGAGTTTGCTGACGTAAAAAAGAGGAAGATTTGTAGCCGGAGACGAGAACATCCCGAGAACAAAGACCCAAGCCGACAAGATGGCGAACGACGCGCAAACACCTGGCGAACTGTACCTGTTACTGGGAACAACAGCCGGCGCGAGGAAAGAGGACATCATCGCGGCCTACAAAGATAAAGTCTCAAGCTACGAGAAGACTTTGAAAACAACGAAGGACAAGCGTCTACTGAGCACAGCGAGACAAACTTTCTCAGAGGTGAGCAAAGCTTTCTTTGTCCTGTCAAACGATGACCGCCGGGCAGCCTACGACAAATCAAATGTAATATCGGAGCCGGCCAAACATGACAAGAAACACCCACCAAGTAACGAGTACTTCGTACAACACAACGGCGGTAGTGTAACTATTCACATACCTGCGGGATCAGACAAACACTGGACAGAAGCTATTGAATCTCACTACAACATGTCCACTGAAGACAAGGGCAAAAATGGCCGCCAACTAAACGTCCCCTTCCACGATCCCGAGACTAACGACGAGATTGGATCGGTTACGCTCCACGTGTACCATACGTCTAAAATACTAGTACAAGGTTCGGCCTACTATCTGTGGGTTATGTTCATTTATGAACATCTCAAAGAACAGTTACTGGCAACAAGCCCGACCACAGAAGTCATGTGTGAGGATATTATATGCAACAAATGTCAGCAGCCCGGCCCCGAAGATGAAGGTGTAATTCAGTGCAATTCGTGCCAACAGTGGTATCACTATGTGTGTACAGGACTCCGACAAAGCCTACTATATACATTGATCACTGATGAAGAAAGGGAGTATGTTTGCAACCAGTGCTCACACGACGACCAACAAAGTGAGGAAACCACTCCTAAAGCGGTCTACAGTGCACCAAACTTAGAAGATAACAACAACAATGCTCAGCTTTCCTCTCTTCAGATCAGTGTAGACAAGCTGGAGTCCATTCTAATGAGCAGAATCACCACTGACAATGACAAGTTTGACACCTTGGCGGCACGAATCTCACGAATGGAAATCCAGTTGTCTAAAACAAAAGACCCTCCAGTGGAGAACTTGGCGAGACTATCCGACATTGAAGTGCTAAAAAGACGTATCAATGCACTAGAAGCAGAAAACAAAAACCTGCGAAACAGGATAACACTTCTGGAACAACAAAGTGTGAAGAAAGCAGGCCCAACAACATCCCAGACGGGCGACTCTGCACGTGCTCCAACTACACCTGAAACCACAAACACCCGCTTCGTCCCGAATATCCCAACTAACAACAGCTTTGAGGTCCTAGCAGACAACACTCCGATGACCCAAGTTGAACGGAAGTTAGATTCCCGTGATAATGGGCAGTCGCAGACACGACCAACAGAAAGGCGTTCAGATGACCCAATCCTAGCGGAAATAGTCATCATCGGTGACTCGAACACGAGAGGAATTGTTCCCAGCGTGCTTTACCCGGGCAAGCTAACTGCCAAACACTCAGCAATGAAAGTCCCTCAGGCCATAGAACTGATCACGGAAACGAACTACTCGGATCCCAAATGCATTGTCTATCACGTGGGGACAAACGACATAAGGGAAGAAAGGGCGGCAAACGGTGTCACAGAAAACCTCAGGCAGCTGGTAACAACAACACGATCAAAATATCCGAATGCAGACATCGTCATGTCTGCTATACCCCCGAGAAACGACAAACAACTGATGGAGGTCACACGCGACGTTAACACCTTCCTGCACATCCTTCATCAAGAAACTGCCTTCATCAGTCTAGCGGACAATGACAATCTCGGCGAAGACGGATCCATAAAGAGAGCTTTGTACAAACAAGACGGGTACCACCTCAACAGAGACGGCCTAAAAGTACTTGCAGCAAACTGGAAGACTGCAATTCATCCCCTGGTAGGCATGGGTACCTACAATAGAGGACAGAGATGGAGTACTGACCCATCACCGACAAACCGACAGAACAGAAAACCGGGGGCGGAAAACAACCAATTACAATCTTCAGAACAAAACAGAAATCGTGACTGGACCAACCCAGGCAGTAGCCCTCGCGAAGAGCCGAACCCGAACTCGTTCGCTCGTGACCGACGCCCTCGCGAAGAGCCGAACCCGAACTCGTTCGCTCGTGACCGACTGCATCGCGACGAGCCGTACCCGAACTCGTTCGCTCGTGACCGACTGCCTCGCGACGAGCCGAACCCGAACTCGTTCACTCGTGACGAACTAAACGTAGGATCGCGCCCTCGTGACTGGACCAACCCAGACCAGCGCTCTTGGTGCCCTCGAGACAGACCAAGTCCATACAGGGTCCCGGAGGGAGAACAACGCCAAGACTGGCGCTTTCACAACCTGGACTGGCTTCCACGTGACCAAAGAGCCTCAAACTGGAATCGACACAACGCAGACTGGCGCACATACGACACAGACTGTCGCAGGTACAACGGTGACTGGCACACATACGAAGCAGACTGGCGCTCGCACAGCAGAGACTGGCGCATGCAGAGGCAGCTGGAGGAGTTCCCTGACTGGCGCTACAACTTCAGAGGCTGGTAACACAAGTCGTATCCTTAACCTTATATAGTATCAGACAAGAAAATGTTATGGTATGCTAAGAACTCGCACGGTCAAGTTATAATAGTTATACAGGAAACACTAGAAGTTTTTCCTTTCTTTTTTATTTTAAGCAACTATATTGCACAAGTACAACATATAAGTAAATTATCGTAAAAGTAGGGACTAAGTTGAATGTCATACATTGAGAACGAGCACTTATGAAAAGTTCATTGAACATAGGCTTCTGGAATGTCCATGGGTTAGGGAAGAAGCTTGAAGATGATAGCTTTAGAAGTAGTTTAGAAAAACTTGATCTCTTCTCTCTCATTGAAACCTGGAGTAACGAATCTTCAGAAGTTCACATTCCTAATTACCAATATTTCTCATCTTTGAGACAAAAAAGAAAGAAAGCCAGAAGAAATTCAGGGGGAATAATTTTTTACTTCAAAAATGATCTCTCGAAATTCGTTAAAAGAGAGCGTGGAACTTCTGATTGCAAAGATTTACTCTGGGTTCGCGTGTCAAAAAATTTGCTAGGTTTATCCAAAGATGTATTTATATGTAATGTCTATATTAGTCCTGTATATTCCACCGTCCACAAAACAGCGGAGGATTCTATTTTTGATGTATTAGAGCAGGACATAGCACTCTTTAAGTCCAAGGGCCACATAATCCTTGGGGGAGACTTTAATAGCAGAATTGGGTCCTTACAAGACTTCAGTGTCGAAGAAACCCTAGATCTTGACCTGGACCCACTTTCTCCCGCCCGTAACGTAGACATCCCAAAAAATTTTACCGACAGAAACCCAGCTAATTCTTTTGGCAAATGCCTCGTAGACTTATGTGTACAGACTGATCTACACATACTAAACGGAAGAATACTAGGTGACTTGAATGGTAGAGTTACTTGTTACCAACCTAACGGTTGCAGCACGGTAGACTACGCCATCTCTAGTAGCTCATTGTTTCACAACATTAATTTCTTTAAAGTCCACCGATTGACTGAGTTTTCGGACCATTGTATGGTTTCTTTAAACATAAGCGCCTTAGCGCACTTCCAGGAAAACGCCAAAACTGAAGAAAAATTGCTCCCTTTACCAGGTCGATTTATCTGGGGCCCCGATTCTAGCGAGAAATTTCTAAAAGCCCTTAGCAGCCCAACAATTTCCCATAGACTAAACAAATTTCTACCTATAGATAAAAATTCAATCCAGTCAACAAAAAAGATAAACGAAAATGTACGAGAATTTCAAGACATTTTAGTATCAGCAGGAAAGATGTCTCTACAAATCAGAGGCAAAAAGAAGTCAAAAGAATTAAAAAGAAGTAAAAAATGGTTCGACAAAACCTGCTATGAAGCTCGCACAGAATTAAAAAATATAAGATATCTCCTAATAAACAACCCAAAAAATCCAATTATAAGAGGCAGCTACTTCAGAAAGAAAAAAGAATTCAAAAAACTACTCAGAAAACGGAAAAGGGAACATGAAACTAACTGTTTATTGGAGCTCCAAAAACTTCAAGACAATAACCCGACAGCCTTTTGGAGCTTACTTAAAGAACTAAAACAGACTAATTCCACAAACCAAGAAGACATACCAGCGAACACCTGGGTAAATCACTTTAAAGCTCTACATGAAAAATCTAGATTAGAAAGACAAGAGTTTGATTCTAACTTTGAAACAACCATTGTAAACAAACTCAAAATACTTCAAAATCATAACCATTCCCAAGGCCCATTAGACTATGATATTACAGAATCCGAAATTGTCACTGCCATTCAAGGACTTAAAAACAAAAAGGCTAGCGGGCAGGATATGATAACTAATGAGATGCTGAAATCGGGTAAATCTCTCATACTCCGCCCCCTCAGGACTCTATTTAATAACGCCCTCTCAACAGGAACCTTCCCCACAGAATGGTCCAGTAGTTTTATTGTCCCAATATTCAAAACAGGAAAAAAGGACGACACAAATAATTATCGAGGCATCTCTATATCAAGCTGTCTAGGAAAAGTATTCACGTCGATATTGAACAAAAGACTCTCGATGTTTCTCGAGCAAAATGAAATCCTAAAACCAAACCAGACAGGATTCCGTAAACATTACAGAACCTCGGACAATATATATCTTTTAAAGACCCTAATCTCCAAACATACCCAACCAGGAAAGAAGCTCTTTGCCTGCTTTGTAGACTTATCAAAGGCATTTGACTCTATCTGGCATGAGGGTCTACTTTTCAAACTTCTATCAGCGGGTATATCGGGAAGATTCTTACGACGTTTTAAAAAACCTATATAACAAATCCACAGCTAGTGTCAAAACGAAAAAAGGTCTTAGCGAGAGTTTCCCAATAGAAATTGGAGTAAGGCAAGGCTGTGTCTTAAGCCCTTCTCTGTTTAACTTATATATGAGTGATCTAGCCAACCAATTAACTACAGATTCTGAAGATTTTGATGCCCCCATATTAAACACAAACAAACTATCTAGTCTGTTTTACGCTGACGACCTTGTGCTGTTATCTACAGGCGAACGTGGCCTACAAAAAACAATAAACAATTTAAACCAGTACTGCAAAAAATGGAAATTGTCAATCAATCTAAACAAAACAAAAATAATGATTTTCAACAAAAAGGGGCAGCTGCTTTCAAACTTTAGATTTTACTTAGGAAACCAAAATATTGAGATTGTATCTTCTTATAGTTATCTAGGAGTAATATTTACAACTGGCGGTAACTTTAACACTGCAATGAAAACTCTACAAAAAAAGGCCTTACGAGCCCTCTTCAGTATAAAATCAAGTTTAGGAGACAGTAATGCATCAGTATCAGTATACTGCAAACTATTCGATGCATGCGTTGTTCCCATATTAACCTACGGTGCTGAAGTTTGGGGCAAGATTGGACTAAACGACAATTCTCCAATGGAACAAGCACATTTAAAATTCTGTAAGTCTCTTCTTGGCGT